TCTAAATGTATATAAAAATAGGAATTTATACAAGTTGAGTAGTCCCAAAATAATTGAGACATTTATAAAATAAAACAGAGCAAATTTTAATAAGTCTATCTGACAATCTCAATGGCTACCAACATCTCTTTTAAAATCATTCAAATTGAATTTCTCTCCCTAAATCTATTACTTCTCACTTACGTTGCACCGTGCCTGCAGGCACGAGTTACCCCTAATTGTTAGATATCATAGAGAAAATGAGCTATTTTTAAATAAAAAAGATAGTTAGTGCACTATTTTTATTCAATCTATTTTATAGTCATTTTGTGCTTTGTAAACAAAATTATTAAAAAGTGACCTCAAATTTAGTTTATATAAATGTAAAATTATTATTCGTATCTATTATAGGATAGACAATTGATTTCAATAATAAGATGGCAAAGTGATAACACATATAATATAAATATCAGGTGAGATAAAAAAATAAGTTGAACTTTAGGACCTTATATTTTTTTGAAAGGGGTTCTAAAATTTTACAATAATACTAGTTGCACTTAATTTGAAGACCAAGTATATTATATAAATAGTGAATTTTGTTTAAAGTAAGCAATCACTATTAATTCAATGATTAAAATATTTTGAGTATTTAAATTATATATCATTGTTTATTTCATTATGGGGCCCTAAAATTTTCTTCTAATTTGGGAGCCCTAGGCAATGACCTAAGTGCCCTAAAGATTGGGCCGACATTGCTTTATAATTAATTAAGGATTTTTAAGGTATGAGTATAATTTTTTAGACTTATTTGAAGAAAAGTGTATGAATAAGTTCTGTACTTTATTAAGTTCAATTTTAATAAAATATATTGTGGTTAGGTACAAAATTCAAATGAAATCAATTTTTTTTTACCTACATATCCCCCCTTAAATTATGCATTCTTAATTGGTAGTTATGTATCTAATCCAATATGTAAAGATTTAATTAGACATTATCATTCTTTTTTGAATTTTGAATTGCAGTTTTGTATTATCTATGCCTTAAAACATGTTCTTCAACGGTAGGCTTTCTTGCGATTTTGTTCAACGTCTGGCTTGATGATTTTCTTTCTCCGATTGCGGTATCTTCTTGGTTTATTTTCATTTGATCTCAAAGTCTTTTTTTCTTAATCAATTGATTATTTCTCCGAAAAAAGGAATTGAAAATATTGATCACCATCATTGACTTGAAAGTAAGTTTTTAATAATCAAGTTTTTTCTTTTATTTGGTCATTTTTACTGAGAAATTGTAATTTCGATTTGGCTAAGGTGTTTTGTTAGATATTATGTGTTGTTCGTTATTTGAATGTAGGGACAAAAAAACTTTTTTTTTTAATGAGTATAATTATTTTTTAATGGGTGTAACTATTTTTTAATGAGTGTAACTATTTTTCTGATGAATGTAACTATTTTTGAATGCGTGTAACAATCACAGTCTCATGTAATTATTAAGGCATGATGTATCTCTAATTGGATAAAGTCCAAAGATGTATATGGTCTTGTTTTTATGCAAACATGATTATGTTACAAAAACTTGAATAGAGGTGTAACATACAATTATTTAATAGAGTTACTCAAAACATAACACAATAAAATTTCATAATTTATACAGATTACCCAAGATTAATATTATACTTTTTATTGAAAAAGATAACATCCAAAACTAAACAACAATGTTAGGGTATTATACAATAACTATATGGTGTATCTATATTAACCAAATCATTATCCCACACATTGGTAACAGTTTAAATTTTTACAATGGCTTTGATCTAGGTTTTTAGGAGCATTATACCTTTTGGGTGTAACTCAGTTGTATACAATAATTACATTGTGTAGACAAGTACAATTATATTTCATTGCCAAGTGTAACTCAGTTTCACACTATGAATATGTACATTCACTGCGCAGTTACTCATTATAATTATTCATACCATATACACATAATTTTGATAAGTAGAACTCAACTCATTTCAATTGAATAATGAGTCATGTTATTGGGATCTAAAAATCTGACATAATTTGTTAACATAATGATGTGACTTTATTATGACATTTGAATTGACTGCGGGCTTTATTAAACATTGAAACTTGGTATTAATCCAATAGTTCCAATGAAACCACATCATTATGTCAGCAAATTATGTCAGATTTTTAGGTCCTAATAACATTACTCTTAAAGAATTGACCTTTTATTATTTTCTTTTAACAAAAAATGGGTTGGGATTTTATCAAACAAAAAAAAAAAACTGAACTAAAATTTTTTTTAATAGAGAATCTCTTACCTTTGTATGATTTAAATGATCGTAATTCCAAAACAGTTACCAACAACAGAGATAAGAATGAAATTATTTGAATCCCAAAATAGTTACTCAACACTGTTAGATCAAACAATTTTTTTTTCAAAATGTTTAGAATTTGTATTCAAATACCTTCAATTTTGGAAGTACTCATTCAATATAAAAGAATTTTACTTTGTGATTTTTATTTCTGAAATTAGGGTTTGAAAATTGTTTTTTGAATAGAAATTATAGAGTTATGAAAAAAAATGAATACTAAATAATATATTTTACATATGAAACCCGAATGCAACCAGCATTTTTCGGTGAAGATTTGGTAGGTGATGACGAAGAGTTACTGGACACCAAAATTCTGAAATTTTAATCACTTCTTTCTCTATATTTTTTGAAAAAAATCACTGTTAATCTTATCTACTTTGTGGAGATTCTATACAAAATCCATCCCATTTTCAAAATTTCCAAAGAAGAAGGATTATGATAATTACTATACCCTTAATTACCTCTCCATTACTTCACTGATGCCAAAGAAGACAATTGACAAACATATAGGTTCCATCCCTTTCCCTTTTACCGAGTGACATTCTCGTCATTTTTTAAAAAATTGTACTTTAACCCAAATAAAATTTTGTGTTATATTTTTACTCAATTAAATCTAAAAAATTGTACCGACTTCCATTTTACCCATTAATTAAGGAAGTAATTGAGTCCATAAATACTAATTTTATTTGACTTTGTTGCCCAGAAATTGTTTGGATTTCTAAATGCCATATCAATTGCACCCGGAAAATTTAAGTTTTAATTTGTTATTTAATCATTTGTGCAATTCAAAAACCTTTTCACGAAATTTTCGGTGCTGATTCTCATGAATTCTCTCAGTGGTTTGTTAAATACCACGAATTCAAGTATAACCCATGAATGTTAAAGTGGGTCCACCATCAATTTATACCGGATAATTTAATATTAAGCAAATTAAGAGAAGCTAGTTTTGAAGTGCATTTTACTTTTTCAGTATCGTATTGCGATAAAATCTGACTAACACTGTTCATTTCTGTTTCATGTAAATTTAACCTGAAGTAAACCTTTTTACAATCAAAATATAAATAGGTTTTTTTTTTTGTTTTGTTTTTGTTTTTGTTTTTGTTTTTATATACATTGATAGCATACTTCTAATGAGAGAGAGGAAAAAATTCGATTTCATGTTGTGCCTAGGGACAGACAACTCCTTAACCACACACGGACAAATCTATTTCGAAAATGTATTTGGCTCACTGGCTTAATCAGCCCGGTTGTTGTATCAGCATATGTACAACTTTTGCCTCACTCTTGATGCCGAGGAAATTCATGCAAGCACATCAAACCAGCTATGTATTTCCCTATTTACCCAAAGACTAATACTTTGTTTAGTATAATGAAAAAGTAGAAGAATGAAAAGTTGGAAGAATAGATAAAATATTATGTTTGTTAAATAAGTAAAATGAGAAGGATAGAAAAGTGAGAGGACTAATTTTCCTTCCAATTACAAAAAATCTATCCTTTTAAAATCGAGAGCACAAGTGAATGAAAAGTTAATTATATGTGTTGAAATATATGTTATTTACCTATCTATATATAAGCACATATGTGTGTGTGTGTGCAATTAATCAGTACATTGTATATAATTGGTATATATACCCTATTTACCAATTATATAAAATGTACTAGTTATTTTAACAGATAGATATAATTGTAAATGTATCTGTTCTTTTTTTTTTCTTCCACTTTTTCATCCATATTATTCTAAAATAAACACGTTATTTCTACTTTTTATCATTCCTATCAAACACTAAAGAGCGAATGAATGGTTTCTCCATTAAAAGATAGAAAGCATTTCTATTTTTATCATTTCATAGTTTCATTCACTCTATCTAACACACCATAATGTCTATGTGCAACAATAAGCCGGCCAAAGTCACTGACCAATAGGTAAGCAATAAATATTGGCTCTAAATGTGAAGATAAAGGAGCTTGGACAAGCTTGCCATTAGACCGTGGCTAGGCTGCAAACTCATGGTCTGGGAGTTGCTTCTTCAATAAAAGTCAATAGCATTAATTGGCTATCCTTAAATACATTCATCTCGTTATCAAGCAAAGTTAAATGGGTCCCAAACCATTAATGATTGATAATAAGCGAGCGTATACAAAATTTACCTATTAGTTTAGATGTTATTTTATCGTCGTGAGATAAGTTCTATCATTCTCTTAAACAATTGAGATGTAACAGAAGTTTTGATAAAAAAGAGTTTTGCCCAAAAAAAACCCAATTTGATACCAAGTTAATCATACCCAAAGTGTGGAACTCAAACATCAATTTCAAATATTGCAAGAAGACCAAGTAAACAGATGTGGAAGAAGCATAGATGCTATGAAACAACCAAGAAAAAAACAAATAAATATGTTATGTTGCAAATTACATGCCACAAAGTATATGACAAGAAATGTTATTGAAAACAAGTATAATCAATCATAATTAAACAAAATCAAGATATTTCAGCCAAAACAGCCCACATCATGTGGCCCACCCTTTTAATTAAAAAGACAAAAAAATTTCCTAGAAGAAATCGATCTAAGAAAATTACTGAAATTCCAATATAGTCCCCTTCTGTATCATCCTCACCATTGAATAAACACAAAACCAGACAAAACCCCCCTCCCCTGCCCTCTCTATCTAGTTCTAAAGGCTTAAAAATCTAAGAAATTGTTGAAAATATCAAAAGATGGTATTGGGGAAGTCATAGAAGGTGAAAGAAAATATGGACTAGGCATGAAACTACCCTCTATATAATTCTTATTACCTCGTAATATAGGGCTTAAATCCTGAAAGAAGCTCAGAGGATTTGGATCAGACGGTGGAGAGAAAAAGTTCGGTGGGATAGTCGGAAGAGACGCCGGATTAGGTGACAAAATACCCGGAAACGACACCGTTCTCTCGACCACACTGCTTATCTCTATTCCTTCAACCATACCCATATCACCATTTTCTGGTTTCGTCCCTTCCCGGGGTTTAGCTTTTTCCATGGAAGCAAAACGAGCCGCCGGCGATATTACACCGGCGGTGTCTTGAAAAAAAGAAGACGATGAAGTGACCGGAGATGGGCCGGTGAGACGTTGCACCAGAGTCATGAACTCACTAGGGTCCGTGTGAATTACCTTGGGAGAGACTGTGTAAATTATCACCGGTGGCCGGAGCTGAGCTTGTGGCTGATGCTGCTGTGTTGGTGCCACAGGAGGTTTTCTGATCTTGTGAGAGTCTTTACGTACTCTGAGTGGCGCCGGCCGAGGACCTTGGAGCTGAAGCTCTCGTCGGGGTGACTGGCTGTTGGGGAACTCCGGTTGGTCCATGGTGTTGTGGATGAAGAGTCGGTGATAGGAGAGAGAAAGAAAGGAGAAGGAGGAAGGAGGTGGTGGTGTTGAAGATGATAAATGCATTATTTTTCAAATGCAAAAGTATGAAAATATATAAGGTGAGATGAATCTATTATAAACAGTGTAAGTCAATGGAATAAAGGGATTAAATATTATACAAGAAAAGTAGTAATCATTTATATGAAAATTTATTGGCTACTTGTATATAGTGATTGTTTGTTTAGGGTTTGGGCCAGTTGTGGTGTGTCATGGATGTTTGAACTTGTCAAGGAGGTGAGGGGTCATGTGCCACGTCAGATTGGTGGATGGATTGTGTAGGAAAACCTCTGAAAATTTATAACAAAAAATCCACTAATTAAAATTTTCCTTAGATTGGTGGATTGATGGTGTCATGAAAAAAAATATAGTTAGTTTGGATACCTCAACCTTGGAATCTTAAACTCGGATCAGGCCTTGAACCCCTAACCCTTGACTAAGTCCTTCAACCATTATACTCGACCTAGGATTTGACCTTGGTCTTGGAGGGACCTAGAACATAGGCTCGAGAGCAGGAGGAGGTAGAGGTAGAGGTAGAGGTAGAGATGAGGTGATGGTGGTGATAATGGTCATGATAAGTGGGAGTAGTTGGTAAAGAAAAGTACATCTGGTATTAAGGAAGGACAAATTTTACATTGATGGAATTATACTCTGTGGTAAATGGAATGAATTTCTGTTACTACATACTAAATATAGGAATAAACATTATTTAAAAATGACAATTCAGATTTGCATAATTCATTATCACCTACCAAACAAAGTTAAAGAGTGGTGTTTTTAGCCTTGTCAGCCACAACCTAGCTAATATTTTGTTAACTGCATTAAAGGTAAATCATAAACTGGAAAAAGCACTGTTATATGCTGTCCAAATCAACTCAAATATCTCATCCCAAATATATGTCTACCACACATATCATTTTGTAGGTCCCAAAAAATTTATTTTTCATTCAATATGTAGTGCACATGCATTTTGAATAGAAGATTTGAGTTTTAATTTGAACAATACAGTACTCTTTCTAAAAATACACAACACTGCATGTCCAACACACTTACCTGACTTGATACCTATTTAGTCAAGACATTAGAAAAAAACTCATCACAAAAGGTGATCTTTGACAATTGACACAAACTGTTGTACTTAATTAACCCGGCCGTAACCCAATAGTTCATTTTTGAGTTTGAGAAAGACTTTGCCTCGACCTGGATGGATAACTATGACTTTACTCTATGATGCCCAAACACATTGAATAAAATTGGACTTTCTTCAATAATTTTAAATTTGTCTAAATTGACAGCTTTACTTTGATTACAAAATTTTTTAAGGTGATGGTAAATTTAAGGTTTTTATTTTTTGGTCAATTAGGGGCAATTTGGAGGCCCGTTCAACCAATAAGATCAAGCAAGTTGCGCGCAGAAAGGAGGGTATGTGCATGTATGCAGTAATGCATATTGTCCACTGGGGACATAAGCTGTATTTATAGCAACCACTTTGGGTGATCTAAGTATGACTTTTCTTATTTTTATTTATTTATTTAGTTATTTTTAAATATGTTTTTTGGGGTGGAGAGAGGAGGGGGAAAGGGAATTTGAACCCTTAACCTCAAAAAACTAAAGTTTTCACAAGGCAAGGAGTACCCTTAATTATGACTTTTCTTATGGTGTCATGGGAGACCTTATAATCCCCTTGAAAAGGTATAAATTCCTTGCTTTGTTTGATAAATTCGATTTTCGAATTCGAATTCAAATCAAAAGGATACTGATTAACATTTATGATAGATCATTCTATATCAGATATTATGATTTATCAATATTTGACCTTGATGATATCTGAAATATGTCTAAGGTTGAGTTCGGTTTTTCAAACCCAGCTCTCGCAAGTCGGGAGTTCAGTTGTATGAAGACTCTGACTTCAGACCTCGAGCTCCCTGAATTTACACCTCAAGGAAGGTAGTATAAAAGATAGTTGGCGTCCACCAAACACCCCCTCGATAGTAACAGTTACTTATCCAAACACGAGATTCGTAACCGCCCCAACACTCTCAACAGCCGTTGCACAATAAAAGCAGCCGTTATGAGAAAAAGGTAGGGATCTCGCCATAGATCTAGCTAGACCCAAAATTAACTATATAAAAGAGGCAAAACCCTCAACAGAGGCAAACAATCGTTGTTTTACTAAACTATTCTCTGTAATATCCCTTATTATCAATAAATTTTCCAAGAGCAAGAGACTCATTTGAGAGTGAATTAGCCGAGTTCTCGAGCCGGTAAACCACTATAAATCTACTGTGATTATCCCATTCCCTGATCCAATTCTCAAGAGCCTTGAAGTTCAAACTGAACTATTTAGTGCACATTGAATCCACCATTCTGCTTTGTTGTGTTACATACATCATTAAATATGATTCTCTTATGATCCAAATAATGCATACACATACACATATATGATGGAATTTAATAATTATTCAATGAAGTCGAGTTAAAATTTAGATGTGGTTTACTAAAATTAAGTTCAATTAAGCTATTCAAATTAAATAAAATTTTGGGTTCGATTTTGATTTCTTACTAGTTCGGTTATAATTCAAGAGAAAAAGTTTGTCAAGTATCTGGATCAGAATCAAATTGGAGTTTATAAGTTAGATTTAAATTTAAATAAGATGGAATTCGATCTAAATTTGATCTATTGAAAGGTCTAATTTGTTGTATTGTATGTACATATATGCTATCATACATCAACTTCTTCTGCATACAAAAACATGCACGTTAATACATTCATATATATATATATATATATTTGTTGTTAAGCATTGGAATCAAACACTATACATTCATTGTAAAGCATGGGAATAAAACACTAATGTTAAGGTAACGTCTGATACCATTTTTTTCGAACATTTTTTTGGTTTTTTTTTTTTTTTGAAGTTTTAAGTCGGCTCAACAACCTAATTTGTTGATCTATTCACTTACAACTATTAAATTGATTATAGGTCCTAGTTTTCGTTAGGACTTACTACTAATTCAATAGTTGTGATGAATTAAATTAACAAATTATATTAATAAATTAAGTTTCAATAGTATTACAGTTTCAGAATACATCCTTTGGACACAATTACTCGCCGTTTTATAATTTATTGTATAATATAATAAAACCATTTACTGGCTTTTATAGGTCTTCATTTGATTATTGTCAATACATTACAACTTGGAAGTTGAATTCTTAACTTATAAAACACAACAACGACCAATATTCATTTACTTTGATTTAATAATACACAAATTATGCCCCCCCAAAAAAATTGCATTCAAAAACACCATTTTCTCAACACGACCTTTAATATCAAATAACTCAACCTATATATTTTTCAATACCAACACACTCTCTTTAATCTAGAGTTATTTACTAGTGTGCATCACTTTTCAAACAATATTTACCAATTTATGATACTTTTGAATTTATTTTTCAAACTACGATACTTTTTAAAAGGTCGGGTTGTTGACCCTGCTTTGAAATTAACACCCTCCTTTTACATTTGAATGAAATATTGATATTGTCTTATATTTGACCAAATATTGAAAGAGGGGTTGTTGAAATGACTCTGCTTTTTAAAAAGTGTGTAATTTGATGAATAAGTTTAAATATATCGTACATCGATAATATTTTTTTGAAATATACCATATTTTGGTATATTTTTTTGACATAAACCGTATCTCTCTCAAACATTTTCTCTGATGAATAAGTTTAATTTTTTTTTATTTACAATATAAATGTTGCACGATCAATATTCAATTTTTGATATTGTAGTGGATGTCTTTAAGCACGAGGTTACTGCTAGTCTATATATAATTTTTTAAATAGGAAGCTGAATTCTCAAGTAAAAGAACAACAACAGTTAAGATTAATCCATTTTTTTATCTACTTTGATCAATGATACAAAATTCATTCCAAAATTTTTTCACTCAAAAACATTATCTTAACCAATACACTCTCTAATATTAGACAACCCTATTAATTCACACCTACCTCTCCCTTCTTTATCTTCCTTACCTCTCTTTTATTTTCTCTATGTTCACTTTAATTCTAAATTACATAAATAAAAAATAAATTACTGTTTAAAATATAAATGTTGCACGATCACTGCTTGATTTTTGATATTACGAAGTGTCTTCAGACACGATATTATTGCTAGTGTAACAATATTGTGAACAATAACTACTCAATTATGATCCTGAGCTAGGGTAGATGACGAATCATATCATTTTGTATTGCGTATCATTTTAAAATTTATTTAATTTATACAAGATTTATGTAATTTGTGTATAATCAAGTTCATGTAGTATCTATAGAACATAACTAATACACATCAATCCATTTACTTTGGCCAATCAGTCAGATTGTCCTGGTAAGATCAATTAATCCCTGTTCACTAATTTCGTATGTTGGACTAGTAAATTGTTACATGTAGAATTGTCGCCCTAGTAAAAGGAAGTATGAGTAGAAGGACAATATAGAGATGGAATAACAAGCATGTATGTTGCATACATAGACCAATTTTGCCATTGCAAGACCGTTGTTTCGAGTCAGATGTTTTTGTTTGTACTTCTGGAAGAGTTAGTTGGCCTACTTCTGGTTTTGTCAAAAGCCTTCGGTTGTTCCTTTGGACAAGACCACTTGCTTTTGTCTTCTAGGATTTTTCTTACAACTACCAGGAGTGTTAACAAAATAATTGATAGGGTGACATTTCTGAAATGATGATGTGGGAATCCCTTTTCACAATTTTAACTAAAAAACACTATAGATGTGATTGTCCGACCCTTACATGACCGAGTTAAGATTCCTAAAAATCAGCGAAAGTATAAAATAATACAATGAAATATATGAAATTTGAAACTTTATTTTTATTTTTATCAACTTAGTAAGGCATGAATGTTGATGTTATTTCTAA